CTGTAAATACTGTACCACTGTAAATACTGTTAAAATACGTAACCACGGTAAAATACTGTAAATTCTATTTGGGTAGTACTTTAAAATACTGAAATACTGTAAGTACTGAAATAACTGTAAATACTGTAAATTACTGTAACCACTGTAAGATACTGTAAATACTGTAAATACTGTATAGTACTGTAACCACGTAAATTACTGTATACTGTAAGTACTGTAAATACTGTAAACCACTGTAAATACTGTAAACTGTAAAACATGTAATACTGTATACTGTAAATACTGTAACCACTGTAAATACTGTAAAATCTTTAAATACTGTAAATACTGACAATACTGTAATACTGTAAATACTGTGAATACCTGTAAGTAACTTAAATACTGTAAATCAACTGTAAGTACTGTAAATACTGCTAAATACTGCTAACCACTGTAAATACTTAAGTACTGTAAATACTTGTAAGTACTGTAACACTGTAAATACTGTAAATACTGTAAATACTTAACACTGTAAATACTGTAAATACTGTAAATACTGGTAACCACTGTAAATACTGTAATACTGTAACACTGTTAAATACTGTTAAATACTGTAACACTGTAAATACTGTAAATTCTTTAAATACTGTAAATACTGTAAATACTGTAACCACTGTAAATACTGTAAATACTGAAGTACTTTAAATACTGTAAAATACTGTAAATACGTTAAAGTACATGTAACACTGTGTAACGTACGTAAGTATACGTGTAAAATACTGGTAATACTTGTAACTGAATTCTTGTATACTGTAAATACGTGTAAATACTTGTAAACGAACGTATACTGTAATATTAATACTGATATAATAAACTGTAAGTACTGTAAACCAGCTGTAATACTTGGGTAGAATTACTGTAACCGACTGTGAAAAATTTACTGTAAATACTGCTAACACTGTAAATACTGTAAATTCTTTAAATACTTTAAATACTGTAATATACTGTAAATACTGTAAATACTGTAACCACTGTAAATACTGTAAATACTGTAAGTACTGTAAATACTGTAACCACTGTAAATACTGTAAATACTGTAAGTACTTTAAATACTGTAAATACTGTAAATACTGTAAATACTGTAAACACTGTAACCACTGAAGCAGCTGCAGTGTAACCACAACAACTGAAGATTCAAACAGTTGAAGTGGTAAAAGGAGTTGAAGGTGTCAGGTGAGGAAACTCTGATGTGATGATTTTGAAGGAGATGCAGAGGAAGAGAAAACAGTTCAGCTGAAGTGTAAATACTGAACACTGAAAGGAGGTGAAGTAGACCCTGAAGGAAGTTTGTCAGTTGAAGTGTGAAGCTGGATCCCCCCCACCCCCCCACCCCCTTACTTGGCGTAGGCCTTCTCCAGCAGAGCGCTCCAGAACTCTTTTCCCTCGGCCGAGTGAACAAACAGCAGCTTCCCGTCTCTGGTTGGCAGCCGGTCATCCACAACCACGTCCACCCACTCTCCGTACTGCCACAGCTACAGGAACAAGAAACATGATGTCACTTCCTCTGCAGGCTCCACCCACCACAGAAAGGAAGGGTCCTGATTGTGTGAAGTGTCACAGCACATACCACTAAGTCTGTCACTGTTGTAGTTATAAATAAAGTTGGTTTAAATAAAGACTCAGACTCCCAGGACGTTTTCCCTCGAGCTCGAGGAGACGTGGTATTTCACTTTTGGACCGCAGCCCTAAATCCAGGTCCTCCTTTGGTCCTCAGTGTCCCATAATGCACTGCCCAATGCTCAGATTTTTGATGTTGTGTTCAGGTGATGCTCGTTACATTGTAAAGTCATAAACTGATGATGTGTTAGAGGTTGATGTATCCAAGGTGAATTTCACACCTGAAGTTTCTGACTTAACAAGTTAGAGAAGAGCACCTGAATGCACCACAAGCTTGTTCCGTGTGATGTTTGAGCGTTCGGCTCATGAATAGAGCAGCTATGAAATCACTTCCTGTTTCCATCATGAGAACAATCAAGCTCCTCAGAGATCAGCTGACGTTTCCTCTGATCAGGAGTGATTCAAACCAACTGAGCCGCTTCACCACCTGAACCCCGCCTCATAAATGTATACATAGGTATATATATATATTATTAGTTCTGGGTTTTTCATTAGTTTTTATTTTTATTTCTTTTTGACTTATTGTTTAAAATTTCAGTTTAGTTTAGTTTAGTTAATTTAGGTTAGTTAGTTAGTTAGTTAGTTAGTTAGTTAGTTAGTTAGTTAGTTAGTTAGTTAGTTAGTTTAGTTGGTTAGGTTTGTTTTTGCTGGTACAGGTGAGTCACCTGGAAGTGGAAGATGCCGGTGTACTGAGACGTGAAGCTCTGACCAGGAGGAACCACTCTGCTCAGAATCTGAGGGTCCAGAGTCAGAGAGGCCACAGCCGCCAGCAGCCAGCAGTCACCTGACACACAGAGAGCAGGTCACATGATCATAGTGTGTGTGTGTGTGTGTGTGTGTGTGTGTGTGTGTGTGTGTGTGTGTGTGTGTGTGTGTGTGTGTTCACCCAGGGCTCCCTGACAGATGTCGGTTCTTTTTGCTCCATCCACAATGAACTGAGGAGCAGGACACAGTTCCTGATTGGACAAGACAGCAGATCATCATCATCATCATCATCATCATCATCATCATCATCATCATCATCATCATCATCAATCTAAAACACTGACTGTGAGGAATAAATTGTGTTTTTCAAGCCTAAATTTGAGCTTCATCAACCTTTGTCATTAAACTAACAGGAAGGTGAACAGGTTGACTCACACCTGTCCAGGTGAAACAGCAGCACTGACGTGTGGTTTATGTTTAACAAACTCAGTGAGATTTTTAATTTATTAACAGGAGTGGTTTGAGTTCATCTTTGATATCTTTAAACTGGTAGAAGACAGGTGAATGAGTGAGTCCACCGACTGCTCCAGGCAGACGTATGCCAGGTTACCATGGAGACCACACACACACAGTTACCTGGTCAAACCACCTGCCGCCTGTTTGTTGTGTTAAACACGAGCTGTGGTTTAATGTTAATGTGACACAGAACAAACACCTTGTACCTGATACTAAGAGCACGACGTTGCTGCTTGATTAATCAATCAGAAACCAGCTGACAACAACCATCAATCATATTTACACTCAGTTAGAGGGAGAATGTCTCTTGTTCTCTCTGTTTCCTCTGTTTAACGTCAGTAACATTTTATAGAATAAACAATAAGAAATGATCAACATGTTAATCAGTAGTGAAAATAATCACACAGTCGTGTCTCAGCTCACCGTGGGTCGTTTCCACTCCACTCCGATGGTTTTGGACGAGTAGCGTCCCAGCTGGTTGTATCCCAGCGAGTCCCAGGTCGCGGGGAAGGTCGGGTCACAGAACAGCGAGCCGCTCTGCAGACACTCACTCCGCAGCTGTTCAAAGTCCTGCTGGTTGAAGGGTATGGCGTTGGCCCGGCTGCCGGTACCGTCTTCTTCCCGGGCCTTCCTCCGGGCCAGATCAGCTGCTGCACTCGCCATCCTGAGAGTCTACCGAAAGTCTTCAGTGTACCGAAAGTCTTCAGAGTCTACCGAAAGTCTTCAGTCTACCGAAAGTCTTCAGAATCTACCGAAAGTCTTCAGGAATCACCTGAGAATCTTCAAGTATCTGTCAGGAATCTGACAAAAGTCTGCTGAAAAGAATTTACAGTGTCGTTCAAGATTCAGCCACGAATCAGCTGAAAGTCCGAGAACGTCTGATGTGGTGACCGAAATGTTGGTAAGAGTCTGTCTGAGTCGAGCTGAGGTGTGTGTGTGTGTGTGTGTGTGTGTGAAGGTGGTCAGGTGTCAAGGGGCGGGGCTTTGGTCCAGGTGAAGGAGCAGTGTGAATTATTCAGAGCAAACATCTGATAAACACTGAGGTGTTTACACGCAGCACTGACACCTTAAACACACCTGAATCTGAGCTCACAGTCTGCTGCCTGACAACAGGAGACCTGAAGTCCAGACTCTGATCCACACACCAGGAGCACCAGGACCACCAGGACCACCAGGAGCACCAGGACCACCAGGAGCACCAGGAGCACCAGGACCACCAGGAGCACCAGGAGCACCAGGACCACCAGGAGCACCAGGAGCACCAGGACCACCAGGAGCACCACAGCTCAGACAGGTTGTGACGTGATGAACCTGACCAGCTGTGGCGCTGCAGAGAGCCCACAGCCTTCAGGTGGCTAATTCAGACTGGCAGTGGTACCTTTAAAGACCTCCTGTAAAAACCTTCTACAACAACATTATTACACCAGAGACTTTTAAAGAACAAAACTATGACGAGCTCGTTGAGACATGAAGGTCGATAAGATTCAGTTTCAAACTAGAGAATCTTTTTGAAAAGAGACTTCAAAGACATTTTTCTTTTACTTCGTATCTTAAAGAGCTCACAGTCCCTGTTATCAGAACAGAACTCTCCACATGCAGGTCTACTGAGGTTCCTGGAGTCTCTCTTCAGCTCCTCTCCTGTCACAGATCTGGCTCTACAACACTCACCAGGAAGCATGCAACAGCCAATCAGGTGGGAGACGGCTGATGGACGGCAGGTTTGAGACTCTGGTCCTGAAACCTGTGGTTTTATTTTACATGTTTGTATGAATCTGACAGTTTTCCATGTTTTTTCACTAAAAAAAACAAAAAAAAAAAGGGGGGGGGGTGAAACAGATGAGAGATTGTTAGTTGGTGCTGAGGAATGTGATGCAGACAGAGCTCTGACTGTTTATTTGAATATGAAGTATTTCATTCCTTATTTACCTAATGTTTTATTTGAGGTGCGGGGGGATCTCACCTGTAGAACCTGAGGACAGAGGCTTTGCTCTCAGGGGTCAGAGGTAAAACATGAGTTTTTACACCTTCCTTCTACTTCCGGTCTGTTCCCTGTCATAGACGTGTGTGTGTGTGTGTGTGTGTGTGTGTCTTCAGGGTTCTGGCTCAGTGTCATAAAAACACAGTTCAGATAGGGGCGGGGCTGTCCACATACTTTTGGCCGTGTAGTTCATTTGACAGATTTTCCATTTAAGTTTTTTTGATTCTGAAGTGACAATTGTTTTAAAGTCGTTTCCTGCTTTTCTCAGTCAGTGTGAGGAGGGCCCGCATCTGGTCTGAGAGAGAGAGAGGTGGAGAGAGAGAGGTGGAGAGACCCTGTGAGGCAGCAGGAGAGAGAGCTGGCTCCTCCTCTGTCGGGGCGGAGGTCTGACTCTGAAAATCTGCGCTGGCAGAAAAAGTTTGCTCAGGAGAAGCTGCGGAGTCTCTTCACTTTCAACTGTCTGGACCTTCTCCTCCCTCACCATGTCCGGCGTGGCGTCCACTCTGGCCAAGAAGCGGGCCATGGCCGCGGGGTTTGGCACCAACGCCAACGCGATGCGGTACCTGAACCAGGACTTCGCGTCTCTGCGGGCGCAGTGCCGCTCCGCCGGAAAGCTTTTCTGCGACCCGACTTTTCCCGCTGCGCCCGAGGCTCTGGGCTTCAACGAGCTGGGCCGGAGCTCATACAAGACCCGAGGAGTCACCTGGAAGAGGCCCACGGTAAGATCCCGGGCCTGGTCCTGGATTTAGGTCTGGTTCAGAAAGGGTGGGTTGGTTTGGATAAGTGGGTGGGGTTGGAGGGGCGGGGCGGCTGTGATGGTGGAGTGAGGAGGGGGGATTCGCTTGTTGGCAGAGTACCTGAGGCGACTCATAACTCTGTTGCTCTGCCCTGATGGGAAAATAAAAACCTTCCAACTGAGTTTCACAGTGACTGAACAGAGAAATACGTTACAGAAATGTTAATGATTTAACATAGATGTTACAGATGTTACAGAGATGTTATAGAGATGTTACAGAGATGTTAAAGATGTAACAGAGATGTTACAGAGATGTTACAGAGATGTTAAAGATGTAACAGAGATGTTACAGAGATGTTAAAGATATAACAGAGATGTTACAGAGATGTTACAGAGATGTTAAAGATGTTACAGAGATGTTAAAAATATAACAGAGATGTTACAGAGATGTTAAAGATGTTACAGAGATGTTACAGAGATGTTACAGATGTTACAGAGATGTTAAAGATGTTACAGAGATGTTAGAGATGTTACAGAGATGTTACAGATGTTACAGAGATGTTAAAGATGTAACAGATTTTAGAGATGTTAAAGATGTAACAGAGATGTTAAAGATGTAACAGAGATGTTACAGATGTTACAGAGATGTTACAGATGTTACAGAGATGTTACAGATGTTACAGAGATGTTACAGATGTTACAGAGATGTTACAGATGTTACAGAGATGTTACAGATGTTACAGAGATGTTACAGATGTTACAGAGATGTTACAGATGTTACAGAGATGTTACAGATGTTACAGAGATGTTACAGATGTTACAGAGATGTTACAGATGTTACAGAGATGTTACAGATGTTACAGAGATGTTACAGATGTTACAGAGATGTTACAGATGTTACAGAGATGTTACAGATGTTACAGAGATGTTACAGATGTTACAGAGATGTTACAGATGTTACAGAGATGTTACAGATGTTACAGAGATGTTACAGATGTTACAGAGATGTTACAGATGTTACAGAGATGTTACAGATGTTACAGAGATGTTACAGATGTTACAGAGATGTTACAGATGTTACAGAGATGTTACAGATGTTACAGAGATGTTACAGATGTTACAGAGATGTTACAGATGTTACAGAGATGTTACAGATGTTACAGAGATGTTACAGATGTTACAGAGATGTTACAGATGTTACAGAGATGTTACAGATGTTACAGAGATGTTACAGATGTTACAGAGATGTTACAGATGTTACAGAGATGTTACAGATGTTACAGAGATGTTGAAGATGTAACAGATATGTTACAGGGTTGATATAGCTGTAACAGATGTTACAGAGGTGTTAAAGATGTAACAGAGATGTTAGAGAGTTTTCCTCGTCATGTTTGATAATATTTGGTCCATTTAGTATTCATATTTACGCCCTATATTGAACTCTTTCTCTAATGAAGATAATGATCATCTGTAGTGATGTTGAATTAGGATTTGTAATTAACTAAATAATAATGAATGAATCATTAGAGACATTGTGAATCTGTGAGGAGATCACAGACATGCTGCAGAAACATCATAAGGAAATATTAAAGATCAGTGTCACAATGATTATTACTGTGATGATAATGATGATGTTTCACTTCAGGCTGTGCAGTTACAAATGTCACGTTAATGATTGTAGGAATTCAACAGGAAGATTTTACAACGAAAACAGTGAGTCACAGACCAGAGATCATAAATACCAGAGAGATGAGTCACTACACTCTCAGAACAGTGGACGGTCCTGGAGGGGCAGGGAGAACATTTCTTCAGGGTCCACTAAATATGGTTCAGTAAATTCATTTGACCCCCACCACCCCCTACCCCCACGAGCGTGCTGTGACACACACTGTATTTCTCACGGATGTGTCCTCGTGCAGATGTGTCATTAACTGTTTTCAGTCAGAAACAGGAAGTGGAGGGCAGAGGAAGAGGAGGGAGTGATGGCTGTGCCACAACATGTTTAAATGTTTCAACATTTCTGAACCCACAGTTTGGAAGGAATCAATAACACTGAATAAACACAGTCATAATATTCAGTGGCTGCTTTATGCTAGCCCCAGCTTGTCTACTGAAGGTAGCATGCTAACCAGCTAGCCCCAGCTCGTCTACTGAAGTTAGCATGCTAACCAGCTAGCCCCAGCTCGTCTACTGAAGGTAGCATGCTAACCAGCTCATCAGAAGACGTCGTGGTTACAAACTGTTATAAACACAGTCAGAATGTTTTTGTTTTTTTATTGATAGTGCAGGAGAGAGAGACAGGAAGTTGGGAGGCAGAGAGAGGGGGAATGACATGCAGCAAAGGCCGTCCGATGCGGGACTCGAACCGGGGCCGACTGCAGCGAGGACTGTGGCCTCTACACATGGGGCGGATGCTCATCCAACTGAGCTAATCGATGCTCCACACAGTCAGAATGTTTAATCTGGACGTTCACATCAGTCTTTCAGTCTCATCTCGTCTCTTTCTTCCGTCAGGAACTGGTCTCTAACCCTGAGTTCATCGTAGGAGGGGCCACCAGGACCGACATCTGCCAGGGAGCTCTGGGTGAGTTTTACTGACAGTCCCTGAACACACCACAGCCTATAGACTGTCCCTGAACACACCACAGCGTCAGCTCACAATGTCAGTTGAGAACTGAGCTGCGGCTCAGGTGTAGACAGGTGTAGACAAGTATGCTGTCAGGTGAGAGGTCTGTCTGAACTCGTCCTTCATCAGAGGTCACTGAGCTGCTGTCACTGCTCTGTGGAGGGAAAAGACGATGCAGGAGTCTGGACCGTGCTGCCTTCAGGGTTCAGAACCAAACTGTGTTCACAGCAGAGCAGATAATGTGAACCAGCTGACTGAACCTGGATCTGCTGTAATTAGAGGGAGCTGCCACGCTGAGCCCTGATTGGCCAAGCAGGAAGGAGCGAGACAGGAAGAAGAGGCCTGCCAGCTTATTGTTAGAGGGCGAGAGACTCAAACATCAGAAAGAGGGGGGGTTGAAGAAATGTGCTGTCAACCAATGAGGACACACCCTCACACACACACACACACACACACACACACACACACCCTGTCAGTGTGGTGGTGAGTCAGCAGCCTCAGTCTTTCGTGCTGTGGTTAAACCGCAGCAGCAGATCTGAGTCTGTGTGTGTGTGTGTGTGTGTGTGTGTGTGTGTGTGTGTTACTGTGTGTTTCTGTGTGTGTGTGTGTGTTACTATATGTGTGTGTTAGTGTGTGTCTGTTTTTGTGTATCTGGACTGATTTTTCTGATTTCTTGTTGCAGAAACATTTAAGCTGAAACAAGACTCAACAGATTCTCCAAATGTTTCCTGTCAAACTTTAAATCAGTCCAGGAATTTAGTGCAGAGTGAGACCTCACCCTGTACAACTCGCTCTGAGTCTGCAGGTTCTCTTTAGAACAGGAAGGAACAGGAAGCTTCTGTAGCTCTGAACAGATGATTGTGGTTCTGTTGTAGTTGTGTTATTGTAGATCATCAGATTGAGTGAGACCAGGTCTAGGTGTTGGTCCAGATCAGAGTCCTGTTCCAGTCAGGAGGAAGCTGTGGTTCAGACTGGACTGGTCAGCACCAGTTCACATTAGAAACCAGTGAAGCCTAAATCAATATGTAACATGTAACATATGTTTCTGTGTCTGAGTTCTTCTCATGGTGTCTTGTTTGTGTTATAATGTGTTTTAATGTGTTTGTGCTTGTGTTTATTGTCATGTGAGTGATTGTCAGTGACAGGACTGTAGATGTTCTCTGACAGGAGCAGACGTCTCCCAGATCAATAAATAAAGTTCCTGGTCAGAGAACTGACAGATGTGATGTCATATATGATTTATGACATCATATATCATATATGATGTCATAAATCAGATGGTGGTCACGTTATGAAAAGTGACATGTTATTATTGTGGCAGCAGGTCGTGCTGCAGCCAATCACAGGCGTCATATACTGAACATACCTGAGAGCAGCAGCAGGTGTCTCACCTGAGAAGCAGTCTGACTCTGAGAGACCAGGTCCTGGATTTTCTCAGAGCCCCTCTCACCCCACCAGGACCCCACCAGACCTGATGGACTGGTTACCATTTGGACCAGAACCAGGCGGGTCCTGGTGCGGTTGTCAGTCTGTTGGTGTTGATCCTGACTCTGTGTGTCCAGGTGACTGCTGGCTGTTGGCGGCCATCGCTTCACTGACCATGAATGAATATGTGATGGCCCGAGTGGTTCCCACCGACCAGGGCTTTGGAGACGACTACGCCGGCATTTTCCACTTTCAGGTACCGTTAGAGAGTCAGGAACACCTGGGTCACACAGGTATCCTCCCAACATGAGGAGGTAGAGCTGACAGCTGGACAGCCATGTAACTGGAGCTTTAGTCCTGTTGCTATGGTTACCTGCAGCATGACCTGAAGTATGTGTTTGTGGCTAATATACAAAGTTAAAGTAAAGTAAAAGTCCAAACACCCTGTGGAAGGTTCTGCTGCAGGTTCTCAGGAGAACAATCAAGTTTCTCAGTGATCCTTTATTATTGAAGCTGTTTCTAATTCCTCCTTTATCCATAAGTGACAGTTTGTCACTTAGACAATTAAAGAACGGGACATTAAACAACACAACGCCTCATCAGTAACATCGTCTTAACGACAGGAAGAAGAATTAACTTTCAAAGTGAAAGTGTGTCTCTATCTCTGTCTCTTTCTGTCTCTGTCTCTTTCTGTCTCTGTCTGTCCTCTGTCTGTCCTCTGTCTCTTTCTGTCTCTGTCCTCTGTCTCTGTCTGTCCTCTGTCTCTGTCTCTTTCTGTCTCTGTCTCTGTCTGTCTTTGTCTGTCTCTTTCTGTCTCTTTCTGTCTCTGTCTCTTTCTGTCTCTGTCTGTCTTTGTCTGTCTCTTTCTGTCTCTGTCTGTCCTCTGTCTCTTTCTGTCTCTGTCTGTCCTCTGTCTCTGTCTGTCCTCTGTCTCTCTCTGTCTCTTTCTGTCTCTGTCTGTCCTCTGTCTCTTTCTGTCTCTGTCTGTCCTCTGTCTCTGTCTGTCCTCTGTCTCTTTCTGTCTCTTTCTGTCTCTGTATCTTTCTGTTTCTGTCTCTTTCTGTCTCTGTCTCTTTCTGTCTCTTTCTGTTTCTGTCTCTGTCTCTTTCTGTCTCTGTCTGTCCTCTGTCTCTTTCTGTCTCTGTCTCTTTCTGTTTCTGTCTCTTTCTGTCTCTTTCTGTTTCTGTCTCTTTCTGTCTCTTTCTGTCTCTGTCTCTTTCTGTCTCTGTCTCTGGTTCTAGTTCTGGCAGTTCGGGGAGTGGGTGGACGTGGTGATCGACGACCGTCTGCCCGTCAAAGACGGAGAGCTGATGTTCGTCCACTCAGCAGAGGGGAGGGAGTTCTGGAGCGCTCTGCTGGAGAAGGCCTACGCCAAGTAAGACCCTGACCCCAGGATTCAACCCGACAACTTTCCAGGACTGAGACTGGGCAATGACTGTCTGCTAGTGTTGTAATTATAAAGTTAAGATCTGAGAACATCACAAACCAAGTTATAATTTTATTCATTTACGTCATTATTTTTTCTGTTTTCAGTGATGTCACAGTGTTCGTTAACAATTAGACGTCCTCTCCCTCATCACTGCAGAGAATTATTAATTAAAGGTTCATATGTCTATAATATGAAAACAGCCACAGGGCAGAATTCAGGGAGGTTAGCATACAGCTGGGAAGCTAACAGAGAGCAGAGATGTTGATTGTGGAGAAGCACCGACCTCAGATCTGAGGTGTCTTTTACTAAACAGTAAAGAGCTGCATCATCTGCGTATGTGCAGACTCTTCAGTCAGTCAGTGCAGTTTACAGTGATGCTGCACAGACAGGTGTGTTGTCCCCTCACCTGCTCTCTGTGTTGTGGCTGCAGGGTGAACGGCTGCTACGAGGCGCTGTCCGGTGGTTCGACCACCGAGGGTTTCGAGGATTTCACCGGAGGTATCGCTGAGAACTACGACCTCCGGCAACCCCCGTCCAACCTGTTCCAGATCATCAAGAAGGCCCTAGAGGCCGGAGCGCTGCTGGGCTGCTCCATCGACGTGAGTAAAATCTGGTCCGGCCCTGATCTGTGACGACGTGTGACAGAATCCATCAACAGTTTTTACTTTCAATAGATTTAATGTTTATCAGAGATGAAACTAAAGGCTCGTTACTGTTTCCTGTCAGTCAGAGGAAGTTACAGTCTGAGTTACACAGAGAACAGGAAGTAGAGGACACTTCCTCTGCTTTACACCTCTACAGACGGCGTCTGAGGAACCGTGATTACTGTTTGTTTGGTTGTCAACAACAACAACGATGAAGATGATGACTTGTCTTTATTTCTGTGTAGATCACTAGTGCTGCAGACTCAGAGGCCGTCACTCGTCAGAAACTGGTGAAAGGCCACGCCTACTCTCTGACCGGCGCTGTGGAGGTAATGTCATGTCCTGATGATGACACTGGAAAGAATGAGGACGGGAGATGAGGTCACATGACCCAGAGGAGAATGAAACTGGGTCTGTTTGGTTCTAGGTGAATTACCGGGGTCGGCAGGAGAAGCTGGTGAGGATGAGGAACCCCTGGGGTCAGGTGGAGTGGACCGGAGCCTGGAGCGATGGGTGAGTGAAGCACACACACCTACGCAACATGACATGGCTTCATACACTTGTGTGGTTGTGTTGTTGTTGTTGTTGTGTTGATGTTGTTGTTGATGTTGTGTTGACAGTGTTGTTTATGTTGTTGTTGAAGTTGTTGTGTTGACAGTGTTGTGTTGACAGTGTTGTTGATGTTGTTGTGTTGATCTTGTTGTTGTGTTGTTTTTGTTGTTGTTGGTGTGTTGATGTTGCTGTGTTGATGTTGATGGTGTTGTGTTGTTGTTGTGTTGACAGTGTTGTTGTGTTGATGTTGTGTTGATGTTGTGTTGACAGTGTTGTTGTTGTGTTTTAGTTGTTGTGTTGACAGTGTTGTTGATGTTGTTGTGTTGATCTTGTTGTTGTGTTGTTTTTGTTGTTGTTGGTGTGTTGATGTTGCTGTGTTGATGTTGATGGTGTTGTGTTGTTGTTGTGTTGACAGTGTTGTTGTGTTGATGTTGTGTTGATGTTGTGTTGACAGTGTTGTTGTGTTGTTGTGTTGTTGTTGTTGTTGTGTTGACGGTGTTGTTGTTGTTGTTGTGTTGATGTTGTGTTGACAGTGTTGTTGAGTTGTTGTTGTGTTGACAGTGTTGTTGTGTTGATGTTGTGTTGTTGTTGTGTTGACAGTATTGTTGTTGTGTTGTTGTTGTTGTGTTGACAGTGTTGTTGTGTTGATGTTGTGTTGACAGTGTTGTTGAGTTGTTGTTGTGTTGACAGTGTTGTTGTGTTGATGTTGTGTTGATGTTGTGTTGATGTTGTGTTGACAGTGTTGTTGTTGTGTTGACAGTGTTGTTGTTGTGTTGTTGTTGTTGTGTTGACAGTGTTGTTGTTGTCTCACAGGTCCTCTGAGTGGAACTCGGTGCAGGGCGACTGTCCTCACGCCAACGCAGAGGACGGAGAGTTCTGGTGGGTGGAGCCTGTAGACAGTTGACGTGTCTGTTCAGTTGATGGTGATCAGGTGGCATGATTGCTCTTCTTCTGTGTCCTATCTCTGCAGGATGTCCTTCAGTGACTTCCTGCGTCACTACTCCCGGATCGAGGTGTGCACTCTGACACCCGACACCATCGGTGACGACTCCGTCAAACACTGGAGCGTCAGCAAGTTTGACGGCACCTGGAGGAGGGGCTCGACGGCTGGGGGCTGCAGGAACCACCCCTGTGAGTCTGGTCTAGACCCGTTCACTCAGTCTGGAGTCAGGGTCAGTTAAGCCCTCTGTGACCTTTGACCTCACCTATTCCCTCCACAGACACGTTCTGGATGAACCCTCAGTTCGTGATCCGGCTGGAGGAGGAGGACGACGACCCCGATGACGGCGAGGTGGGCTGCAGCTTCGTTGTCGGTCTGATCCAGAAGAACCGCAGGAAGCTGCGAAAACAAGGCGAGGACATGCACACCATCGGGTTCGCCATCTACGAGGTGAGACCTGGAGGGGGCAGGACTTAGACACTTGAGGGTTTCTGTATTCAGACACCTGAGACAGAAACACAGGTGTGTCCTAAACTACCTGTCTTTGTCTGGTTTCAGGTTCCACAACAGGTGAGCTCTGGACCCACAGCACCCTCGGGTTAAAGGTCAAACACTAGGACACCTCCCACCTTTTATCCACCTGAGTGAAATGAGTCAGAAAAAGTTTTTTTTAATGTTCTCTTCCATTTCCTGGTATTCTAACTACAACATGTCCTGATTGCCCCCCCCCCCCCCAGTTCCACGGGCAGCGGGAAGTGCACCTGGACAAGAACTACTTCCTGACGCACGCTCAGACGGCGAGGTCAGAAACCTTCATCAACCTGCGCGAGGTCAGTTCCCGCTTCAAGCTCCCTCCTGGAGAATACCTGATCGTCCCCTCCACCTTCGAGCCGCACATGAACGGGGACTTCTGTATCCGGGTCTTCTCCGAGAAGCAGACAGAGACCCAGTAAGACCCCCCCACCCCCACCCCCACCCCCCACCTCCCCACCCCACCCCCAACCTCCTCAACTTGTCGCGTCTTCTGTGTGATTTTCGTGTTTGTGTCGTTTGTGCCTCATTTCTAGTCGTGTGTTCTGCTGTGTGTCTGCAAGTGTCTGTCCTTTTCACCTTTATTATCCTCATTCAACTCTTTGTTGTCTGTGTATGTCTCTGTGTGTTTTCCTGTTGTGTGTCTGTGTGTCTCCTTGTGTGTCTGTGTGTGTCCTGTGTGTTCTGTGTGTTGCAATTGTGTCTGTGTGTCTCTGCTGTGTTTCTTGTGTGTCTGTGGTCTGTGTTGTGTCTGTTGTTTCTGTGTGTTTCCTGTCGTGTGTGTCTGCTGTGCTGGTGTGTTCTGTGTGTCTGAGTCTCTGTGGTCTGTGCTGGTGGTCTGTGTGTTTTCCTGCTGTGTGATTCCTGTCCTGTGTGTTATGTCTGTGTTTTCTGTGTGTGTGTTCTGTGTTGTCTGTGTGTGTCTGTGTGTCTGTGTGTGTCTGTTCGTGTGTTTCTGGTGTGTCATGTGTGTGTCGGTGTGTTCTATGTAGTGTCCCGAGTTGTGTCTGCGTGTATCTGTGTGTCTGTGTGTTCTTGACCTGTGTTCATCTTGTGCAGCCGTGTGTGTCTGTGTGTTCGTGTGCTCTCGTTTGGTCTGTGTGTCTGTGTGTTTCATGCTGTTCTTGTGTGTGATCCTGTGTGCTAGGTGTCTTGCGTGTGTCCTCTGTGTGTGTCCTGTGTTGTGGTGTTCTGTTCTGTGTGTTCTGTGTGTGTCTGTGTTGTGCTGTTGTGATGCGGGATCGCTGCTGTGCTCGATCTTGTGTGTCTTCTGTGCTAGTGTTTGTTGCTTTCTGGTGTCTGTGTGTCTGGTGTGTCTGTTGTGTATGTCCTGTGAGCTGCTTGTCTGTTGTCTGTGACGTTGCTCTGTGTGCTTTCTGTGTTATTGTCTCTGCTGCGTAGCTGTTCCTGGTGTGCGTCTCGTTGATGTTATGTGTTCTGGGTGTCTCGTGGTCCTCTGTGTGTGTCTGTGTGTCTGTGTGTGTCTGTGTGTTTCTGTGTGTCTCTGTGTGTGTCTGTGTGTCTCTGTGTGTGTCTGTGTGTTTCTGTGTGTGTCTGTGTGTCTGTGTGTGTCTGTGTGTCTCTGTGTGTCTCTGTGTGTTTCTGTGTGTGTCTGTGTGTCTGTGTGTGTCTGTGTGTGTCTGTGTGTTCTAACATGTTGATCTGTACTGTCAGACCCTGTGACGACCCGGTCCACGCTGACCTGGAGGACGTGAGTAACAACGACCACACACACACACATACACACACAGACACACACACGCACAGACAATAACTGTTGTGGGCGGGGTCAGAGTTAAAGACACTTTGTTTGTCTGATCACATGACTGTGAAACCGTGACCTGATCAGGCTGATCAATGATTATTGATTATCCTTCTGATTATTTTTAACTGGATGAAACTTTTGATCCAGTTTGATTAAATAAATTAAAGCTAATTAAACATGTTTCATCTGAAACAGAGAAACTTCATATTTCTTCTGTAAACTTCAGAGAGACGAAACACACCAACACTGAGAGTCAGATTCATTTCAAAATAAAGTAACATTTCACAGTAAAGTACCAAGTTTTGATCAGTAAGTGAAGGAGCAGGTGAAGTGAGTGACTCCATGTTGAATCTCAGTATCATGATGATTCAGACACACTATAAAGTTTTGTCTGTCCAGGAGACGGTGTCTGACGAGGAGGTGGACGCAGGGTTCAGAGGCCTCTTCACTAAACTGGCCGGAGACGTGAGTGTTGAACTGAGGAGGAGGAGTCACCTGTCTGCTGCTCAGGTGTGAGCCCACCTGTACTGACGGCTCTGTGCTTGTGTTTCAGGACATGGAGATCTCTGCGGCGGAGCTCAGGACCATCATGAACAAGATTGTGGCCAAACGTGAGTTAAAGTGACGCTTCAACACGTTTCACCTGAACGCATCAGCTGCTGCTTTAACTTCCTGTTTCCACAGGAACTGACATCAAGACGGACGGCTTCAGCATGGACACCTGCAGGATCATGGTCAACCTGATGGACGTATCCTTCCCGCAGCTGGGGGGGGGGGGACAAGGGACGAGCAGCAGCACGCACACACCTGTCACCTGTCCACCGGCTACAGCTGACTGTGTCTCGTCTGTGTGTCTCTGGTCATGTGACATCACATTTTTTAGCAGGTTTACTGTCTTTAAAAACCTGTTTTCACTGACACGAACAGACTGTTGCTGGGTGATGACGTACAGAACCTGACGTGAGTCAAATGAACCGCAGTGCGTAACCATGGTGATCGACCACGGTTATAGTGATAATTACAATATAAACGGTGACACGACCGCAATAGAGCGGTGAACCAGGAAGTGTTAGATCTGTCGTCTGAACAGTCGTTGATCTTTAACCTGCAGCAGGACAGCGGGAACGGGAAGCTGGGCCTCGGAGAGTTCGCCACGCTGTGGAAGAAGGTTCAGAGATACCTGGTGAGACTCACCTGTGATCACAACTCTGACTTTACCTGCATCCTCTCACAGACGCCATCAAACACCTGTGTGTGTGTGTGTGTGTGTGTGTGTGTGTGTGTCTACAGTCCATCTACAAGAAGAATGACTCTGATGACTCGGGCACCATGAGCACGCCAGAGATGAGAGTGGCCTTCAAAGACGCAGGTCAGCTGTTCTCTCTTCTCCTCACATCATTTCTTTTCATTTCTTTGATCATAATGAAATATTTATCACAGTTATGTGAGTCCTTCAGTCTCTCCAGACCTCTTCTCCTGAACCAGGTCTTTGTGACTTCACACCAGATTGACTTTATTTGTTGTGGCAGCTTTGGTTCCCTCTGCCGTGTCTTCCTCCTTCCTTCCTGTCGTGTGCATGCTCATGTTGCAGGACTGGGATGTCAGTCCAGTTAGGGTTAGAGAAGTGTTCTCTTGTGGTCTGCTTGTGTAGACGTGGTTTGGTGGATCAGCCTCAGGCCGACTGAACAGAGTCACATGCTCCCTTTCATCACTGCTGGGTTGAAACTTCACTGAGTAGAGACAGGGAATGTTTTAAAGTCATGTGATTAAAACTCCTGAAACGAACGGGCGTGTCAGTCCTGACTTTACGACTCAGAGTGATTCACACAGACACTCAGCTCCGACAGCAGCTCCTCAGTCTGGGAGAAGTTAGCAGCAGTGGAGAGGACTCCTGACTCACTAACACCAGATCTCAAAGAATCATAAAGGGCTGCTGTCCTTCCAGGTGGCTAATAGGCTGTTAGCTTTAGTTAGCTTGTCTATGACAGGTGAGCTTTTTATTTTTTATTGTAAATTAAATTGTGTGACACAAACCTGAGCAGACAGATGTATTTTGGAGAATTCCCTCCTTTAGTAAACAGCTCCTAGCCTGTTTTTTTATTATTACTGCAGGATGTTGATCATGTGTTTTCACAGACGCTCTCTCAGCAGCCAATCACTGTGGTTCCTGCAGGCGAGCTCGTCCATGAAAACTGACGTCAGCCATAGAAACAGAGTTTCAGTCTCCTCAGTAACAGCTGGTCTCAGCAGAGTGAAGAGGACTGAGGAGGAACTGTACTTAGAAACTTCAGAGACTTAGAGACTCTTAGTGCTGAGGTAAAATACTCTGACTGCGAGTCCTGATGCTGAACTGTGGTCTGACAGAAACAAGATCACATGTCAGACGCCGAGTCTCCACAGACAGAGTCATGAAAACTGCCTGTATCAGTTCACATGTAGTCAGACTGTCTCATTACCAGCAGCTGATCACAGCTGTGATGCTGAAGGAAACAGGATGATCCCAAATGCAGCTCTGCAGCCTGTTTCCCTGGAGCTTTATTGTGAAGGGCCGTCAGAGAAGATCTCTCTGGTTCACAGTAACAGTATCTGCAGCAGAGAGATTCCTGCTGATCAGATCCGTCTCAGTCCGTCAGACCTCTGCTGCTTCCGGAGAAACACTTGAACGTGTTTGGATTTAGATTTCAGGCTAATGAGTGAGTCATGGTGATTCCCACTAGCTCACAGCAGAAACGTCCTCCTTGTTTTAAACAGTTCAAATGAGCCTCGTGAGGAACGAAGAGGAGGTGTTTCTTTATCAACAGCTGTAATCTGAATAGTTTCCTCTGCTCGGTCTTTGCTCTCTAACATCTGTCTTCCTCTGTATTCCAACTAAAATAATGATGTTTGTGTGTTTCTTCTGCTGCTGCTGTCTGGACTCTCTCCACCTCCACATTTCACTGTCAGTTAACTGATGATGATGATGATGGTACGTTACACCCTGCTGAGGAGCAGCCGTGTTAGCATTATCTGTGTTAGCATCAGAAGCTTTGTCCTGTCCTAGGAAACAAACCACAGTCTGTTGTTTGTTTCACACAGATCAGGATGTCAAAGAGAAAACTGTCTGTTTAATAAGACACTGTCTTTCTGTAATATTGAGGAAATATAATATCTTATAACACCTTAAGATGTTTTTAACAAGGACAGTTTCTTTTTAAAACTAAAAAATACTATGTAGTAATAGCAAGAAAATTATGTCATTAAATATAAAAAACAGCTTGTTGTTTTAATGTGAAAAGGTTCTTGTTACAGAAACATTAACCTGCTGTATAAAACAATAATTGAGCTAAAAAACGTGATGGCTGTAAAAACCCGCTGTACTGTTCCTGATGTTCAACTCATCAGCTAAAACAAGAAAACCATGCCAACTTAAAGCTAACTGCTGAGTTAGCCATGCTAGCCTTTAGCTAAATCCTGAGCTTGAGGTAAATTTACTTGCTTCATCTGTTTCCTGTCATCTTGTCAAAATATTCCTTTTAATAAAATAAAATTTAACAACTGAGTTTGTTATCCTTCAAAAAACACCAGCTAATCTGGTCCTGCTAAAAGCTAACTAACCTAGCTGTGACAATTTTTTTAGTTTTGGACAGTGTAAATAAAACATCTGTTGTAGATTGATGTTTTCTATCAGTTTACATTATAAATATTGATTTTACGAATCAACAGACATGTAAGCGAAACCATTAACTTACATTGAATCAGTATAAGTAGGAACATTTTTCATTAGCTTTAGTGCACTCAGTAACGTTAGCAGTAGTAGTAGGACTTTTGTTAGCTGTAGCATCGTCCATGCTAATGTCGATGAATCTGAAAATATCTTCCATCTCGTGTTTTCATATTGATTGTTTTTTAAACTGAAAATCAGTGACAACAGAAAACAAGATTTTTTCAGGCGTCCACATTAGCATGATGTTAGCTTGGTTGTGTTTGCTCCGTCTCTGCTCCGTGGTAACTCCTCCTGCGGTCCTCCTCCAGGTTTCACCCTCAACAACACCATCTACCAGCTGCTGGTGGCTCGATACTCCGACCCCGACATGACCATCGACTTCGACAACTTCGTGGGTTGTCTGATGAGACTGGAGATGATGTTCAGTGAGTCAACAGTTCATTTAGCTAACGTACACAGAATGATGGCTAACAGAAGAAAGCTAACAATTCATTTAACGGTTTTGGGCTTTGGATTTGAGTATCAGTTGGAAATTTTAGAATAATTTGTGCACAAATATTTTTAGTATTTTGTATTGTGAATAAATAATTTGTACCCTCAGATTAATATTTCTTGGTTGTCAAATTAGAGCAATAAGTTCAGAGCAGATCCTGACTGTATCTTTCTAAAGAAATCTTAATAGATGTTTTAATGAAATATATGTATTAGTTATACAGTCAGTCTCAGTGACTTTAAAATGTGGCAGAAAAACTCTGATGTGTGATCTGTCTTCCTCTGCAGAGATCTTTAAGAAGCTCGACGCTCACGACAGCGGCTCCATTGAGCTCAACTTCAATCAGGTGAGAGCAAACAGATACACACTGAGAGTCAGTGTGAAGAACCTGGTCTAACCCAGTCTATTTGTTTTCTTTGTGTCTGACTACAGTGGTTAAACTTCGCCATGATCTGAGCCGTGACTCCATGTTCGCCTGGAGCCTCAGTGTTAAAGCAGCAAGCCATATTCCTGTTTACAGCCGCCGCTTCTTTTAGACTCCTAATGTTTTATATGTGAGGCTTGTGTTTTATTATCTATACACTACCTGACTTACAGTCGATGTAAAGACAATAAATTTATCCACAAAACCTTGTTGTGCTTCAGTCATTTTAATTTCAGGTCTCTGTGTGTTCTATACAGATATAGATCCAGGATGTGTTTAGCCTAGGCTAGCTAGCTAAAGACTGGAAATCACGTGGAAACTGCTTGCTGAGCTGCTTGATGTTACCGCCAAGCAGTATAACTTTTGTCTCATCTAACAATTGGGCAAGTTATGCTAACATTAGCCTACAACTTATGTTAATTTTGGAGCTCCCATTGAATGATTTTTTTTTTTCAAACTGTTGAAAATAGATAAGTGATTCCCCAAATACCAAACTACACACTTTGGTTGCTAAGGAGCTAACACTTGATAGCTAGAGAGCTAACATTAACTAACTAACACATTAGAAGATGCATATCAGTTTCGTCTGAGTGTCCAGTACAGAGACACATCCAGGATGTTTAGCTTAGCTTTTCTCATTGATAAGAAACAAAGGGAAACTTTTATTTTTAGCTCCATCAAAGACAAAAAGAAAAAATAATTTAATATTCATTTCAAACTTACTAATTTAAAGCCCCAGCTAATCACTACAATCAGTGAGATCTCTGTGGAATTGCAGAACATGACAAATGTGTTAAAATCAACTACTAGCAAGCTAATGTTAATTTTACAAAGTGTTTCTGACTGTTCAGAACTATTTAAATTAATTCCCGAAATTCCAAAACACAAAGATAACAAGTTTGCTAACACTTATTAGCTCAGGAACTTATCTAGTTGACACATTAGCTTGCTAGCTACCAAGCAACAAAAAGTCTAGTTTACATATTCTATCATGCTAGCAAAAAAGCTAGTAACCAGTCCATTCTAGTTAGCTGGGTTTAGTTGACTGGAGTCAGGTTTCAAGATGTCAAAGCTAACTGGAGCTAGAGGCTAATGTTTAGAGGGCTGTTTTCCAGGTGCTTTCCAAAGATGTAAAGAAAATTATGCAATTGTTTGTGTCTGTGAAGATTCTCAGTCATCCAGGTTATTGGTTGTAGACACTTAAAGACGTTTCACCTCTGATCAAAGAAGCTTCTTCAGTTTTGACTGACTGATGACAAGACCCAGGTGTTTATTCTCTGTGGGGTCGTTATCAAGGCCATTGATGTCACTGGGTTCGTTAGTGCTACTTGCTGTTGTAACAACCATCGTCAGGGTTGTTGGAGTCACCTCTTTTAATGGAGGCTAGGCTAATATTTGCCCCTGCTCTCACAAGGTCCTTGAGCTAAGCAAGGTGAAAAACAGCTGTCTGTATCAGCTGTCAATACAAGAACTGTCATTTTTTCAAATGCTAGCAGTTAGAGATAACGCCCTAAATTATTTTATGTCCAGTTAGCTTAGAGTTAATTTGTGGGTCAGTTTAACTTTTAGGTTGAGTTAGCTTGGAGTTAGCCTCTTCTTATCTTTAAGTTAATTTCTTGGTCTAAACACCTGGATTTAGGGGTGCAGTACCGTCTTTGACCATACAGACCTCCTGACATCTACCAGCTGTTATTACCCAGTCCACATATGCTGTGATAAAAACCATACGATTTCTATTAGCACCATGTTCCTGGGGTGCTGTACCACATACATCCTGTAGGAAATTCCTGTGGTACACAGAGACTTATGTGGTATTTTTCCCAAAGGCTTGTACCTCAGGCTCTGCGGTTCTGTACTACACAACCTGTGATAATATATCATACTTCCTGTGGTACTCAGAGGCTTGTGTAGTGTTTGGGAACTTTTACCACAAACTGCATTGGAAACTCATCTATGATCCAGTACCACAGAGAGTGCTGTACCTGTGGTACTGTGAGGTCACATGACCACAGGACATCTTTGTCAGGCGGAGGGTCTGTGGGTTTTTTCTAACAGGAAATGAAGCTGAAATCAGAAGAGTCACGTGACAAAGGAAATCACTCCATCTTCTTGATGGAAGGACAGAGACGTGTTGATGATGAGATGTTTTGACTGGTGAGGGCAGGAGATTACGGTGGTGACGTCACAGCAGGGGAGTCCTAGCTGTGGCATCAGACCTCAGAATGAATAAATAAATGAAGATCTGCAAGAAATTAATAAAACAGCACGTTCTCTCTGTCGCTGATGTGACGTCACTGATGTTTGGTCTCTTTAACTCGCCTGTTGTTGGTGATGATGTAGCTCCGCCCCTCCCACCGGGCGGGGCTCCCTGCTGCAGCACAGCATCCACAACAGCATCCTGTACCGGACCACAGACCAGGACCAGACCAGGACCGGTACAGGACTAAAGGACTGACTCCGAGGCAGAGAAGGACTGAGACACACCCGGTGAGTTTATCTGATGTCTGACTGGGAGCTGTGGTCTGTACTGGTCTGTTCTGAACAATACAGACCAGTACTGTACTGAATAGTCGGCGGGGTCATTGTTTTCATCTTGATTCAGCAGAAACTCTGATCTGAACTGATGACATCATCATGTTTGTTGACCAATCAGAGAAGCTGCGGCGTCACACACGCCGCCTGAACATCGATGTGGTTCGATGTGGTGGTTAAATGATCCGTCAGCGGACTTTTAACGTTTCCTTTTAAAAACTGATCATCTGTAGATCAATAACTGTGACGTCAGGGTGATTTCAATAATCAACTCCTCAGAGGTAAAAACTGCTGCGGTTAAACCACAGAACATATGAATGTGAATACGTTTTATTAAAATTATTAAAGAATTAAATTATAATTAATAATGAATTATTGTGAAAGACTGATGACCTGGAGCTAGACTAGAATGATCTATTGATTCAGTCAGAAACAGCTGAGGAGTGAAATAAAGGGAGGAACTCTCCTCAGTTCACATCAAACACTGGTACTGACTGACTGAAACACTGATCGTTAGTCTTTAAAGGAAAAATTAATTCACCAAAAACCTCTTCTGACAGTGATGTGAACATCAACACATGAGAAGACGTTCACCTGGGCTTCAGGATGTAATGTTGATGTGTTATTGAAGATACCTGTCAGGTGATTGACAGGCTTGTGTCAGGAAGTCTTGAGTCTTCACTTTTCACTCTTTTATTTTGTTGATTGAAGACAGACAGATAATCAGGGATGTTCTGGTTGTTCTCTGGGAGAACCGACTGGAACTGGAACCAAACCAGTCAGCACTCACATCCCAGTCTGACTCCAGTCCGACTCCAGTGATGTTGGTGCAGCTCCAGCTCAGAGTGATGAGTCAGCTGACTGACTCTCAGTGAACAGTAGGCGGGACAATTAATGTCTGTGTTCAGTATTTGTGTCTAAGTTTCCAATAATAAGGTTGAATTAATTGATGAATTAATTGATTATTTGGATCAATAATCAGAGTTTAAATGGAGCTATTTCTCCATAATACTAGTAATAATAACTAACTAATAAAATCAAAGTTTTATTCCTTATAAATGAGGGAGACGTCCAACCTGTGAGACACAGTGTCCATCAGAACCAGCTGGAGACTGGATCCTGGTCTTCACAGACTCAGGGTCAGTGGTAGAAAGCTCTTACACTCAGTGACTCAAAGGCTTCATCACTGTCTTCTGTCTGTCCACTGACTGAGAGTCTCTGTGGACTCTGAGTGAAACTGGAGCAGGTGATAAAACTGTTGTGTAGTCATGTGACTCTTCAGCTGTAAACTGGACTGAACTAGAACCAGAACCAGAACCAGAACCTGAACCTGATCCAGACTCTGTTTCCTCCCAGCTTCCTACGAGCCCAGCGGACAGAGATCAGGTACAAACATTTGTCTCTTAGCAGCTACACTGTCCACCATGTTCACTGTGTTAGCTTAGCCTGTTAGCATGCTAACATTAGCTAATCAGCAGTAAACACAGAACCATGATGCTAACATGACTAAACCCCTGGATCCTGCTGATCTGTCACTGATCCGGTTCCTGGCGTGTTGTGGGTCAGGATGTTTGGAGGCGTGTCTGGGCGGATCCAGAAGGACCGGCAGAGGGCTGGAGGTCTGGGTTCATTCCAGCAGGCTGTCCGCTACCTGAACCAGGATTTCCAGGTCCTACAGGAGGACTGTTTGCAGAATGGATGTCTGTTCCAGGACCCAATGTTCCCCGCAGAACCGGCTGCACTGGGCTTCAAGGAACTTGGACCCTTCACCGCCAAGACCAGAGGGGTGGAGTGGAAGAGACCAACGGTAAGAACCAGAACTGTTCTACTGTAGAACCTAATAGAACACAGACCCGCTGAGAGATCCAGAACCCTGAAATTCCCTAACACTCACAGGACCCAGGTCCAATGACTCTGGACCAGGTCCCTGAGGAAGAATCAGACTTCCTGTGTGACCCTGACGAGTCAGACTGAGAGCTGTAGTGTTGTTCAGAGAAACACAGTGTCTGCCCCCCCATCCCCAGACACTCCATCGTTATTGGATCCACTATTACACCAACATTCAAATTCAGTTACTGTACACACCTGTACACACCTGTCCCTGTCACCACACACAGTCTCACCTCAGTTTGACCTCTGCTGTGGCCTAATGTGATTTGATGTAATGTGATTTAATGTGATGTGATGTGATGTCCACCGACCGGTGTTTGTGATTGGCTGTTTCAGGAACTGACAGAAGACCCTCAGTTCATCGTGGGCGGAGCCACCAGGACAGACATCTGTCAGGGAGTTCTGGGTGAGTCCGTTGTATCATAAGATCAGACTTTCACAATAAAAAAAGTCATTCTGCACATGCTCAGTAGTGTCCTGCTCAGTCAACACAGCACCAGCAGTGACCACTGGAGCAGCATCCTGTCAGCTGGTCATGTGACCTCTGGGTTGGTCTGTGGTTTAAAAGAAACTTCCCTGACGGCTGTTGCTAGGAGAAAGACTGGTGGTATGTGTCAGAAAGTAAACAGAGCTCAACAGAATCAACAGGCTGATAGACAGTGTGTGTGTGTGTGTGTGTGTGTGTGTGTGTGTGTGTGTGTGGACCATGGAGTTTATACAGAGATGTTTCTGTAGCTCAGGTGTTCTTAATAAACTGCACACTGTGTACACACTGTATTATTCATATATTTACATAAATACAGCATTTACTGTATATACAATGTGATCAGTATAGATAGATAGATAGATAGATAGATGATAGATAGATAGATAGATAGATAGAAGTGTTGCTCGGTGTCTGCAGCTCCTGTTGTTAAAATAAATCCAGGAAGTGTTTGGAGCTGTTGTGCTGATGGGAGTTGTTGCTGGTCCAGGATCAGCTGCAGAGTCACATGACAGGAAGTCATCAAACTGATCTGAGAGTGTGTTTCTCCTCTGGTCTCTGGACAGACCAGAGTCTCTGAGGCGTGTGATTCGTACAGACATGGTCCTCACAAACGCAGGAAGACAGAGGAGTGTGAGTCACAGTTCGGTTGCAGGGTGGAGTCCTCAGTGTGTGTGTGTGTGTGTGGGTGTGTAGTTGTATAATGTGGTTGTAAACACAGGGTTGCACAGGAATAATAAGTTTCTCCCCTCCCCTTCCCTCTCAGTGGGCGGGGCTCCAGCTGTCTGTCACCCTGTTGCTCCACCTGCTGGATGGTGCTCACACACAAAACACACACTTCAGTGTTTACAGAGGGGTGGAGGTTCATCTGTCTGAATGTATCACTCATGTACAGTAGTGCAGTCACAGTAGGTTTCAGAATTCTGATCTTTTGAGGAGCCCCTGAAGGCAGCACTCAGCCCATCATTTCTGACCTTGTACTGCTCAGATTATTGATCTGTGAACGGATGTCTGCTGGATGGAAACTCCATTAGCAGGAAACATTAGCAACCTAATGTTGGAGTTTCTAATGTTGTTGTTGATGTTAGCACTTAGCTTAGCATTAGTGTGTCCCCACAGACCATCAGGCTGATAATGGAGTCAGCTGATGTTCAGTCTGCAGAACAAACATTTCCTATAACCATGTCATCATCATCTTCATCATCATCACCACCTTCATCATCATCATCATCATCATCATCGTCATCATCATTAAATAATCAGTTTGTAAAAGATCAGTAAGAGATAATTAGAGATAATTAGAGATAAAGAAAATAAAGATGATACTGAATGACATCAGTCCAGATGTTCAGACATTTCGTTCTTGCTGATGAGACCATAAAGCATATTAATGTGTCGTGTAGAGGTCAGTTGGAAGTCAGGTGTGAAAACAGTTGAAGTGTCATGTGAAGGTAGTTGAAGTGTCTGGTGTAAATGAAGTGTCTTGTGAAAACAGTTGAAGAGTCAGGTGAAGGTAGTTGAAGTGTCAGGTGTGAATGAAGTGTCAGGTGAGGGCAGTTGAAGTGTCATGTGAAGGTAGTTGAAGTGTCAGGCGTGAATGAAGTGTTAGGTGAGGGCAGTTGAAGTGTCATGTGAAGATAGTTGAAGTGTCAGGTGTGAATGAAGTGTCAGGTGAGGGCAGTTGAAGTGTCAGGTGTGGGCAGTTGAAGTGTCATGTGAAGGTAGTTGAAGTGTCAGGTGTGAATGAAGTGTCAGGTGAGGGCAGTTGAAGTGTCATGTGAAGGTAGTTGAAGTGTCAGGTGTGAATGAAATGTCAGGTGAGGGCAGTTGAAGTGTCATGTGAAGGTACTTGAAGTGTCAGGTGTGAATGAAGTGTCAGGTGAAGGCAGTTGAAGTGTTAACTGTGGTTGTCTTACAGGAGACTGCTGGCTGCTCGCTGCTATCGGCTCTCTGACTCTGAACGAGCGGCTGCTGCATCGTGTCGTTCCTCACGGTCAGAGCTTCAACCACCAATACGCTGGCATCTTCCACTTCCAGGTGAGACTCCACCTGTTTACACCCACTCAGCTGTGTGGAATGATACCTTCAGGTAGAATTGGAGAGTTTGTGATTTGATCATGGGAAACAGAGAGTGACATCAATTTCTCTCAGAGCTCTGGGTTTAGAGACAATCAGAGTTCCTCATCCTTCATTATCATAATGAGTCATCTTTAACACTCTGCCTCCATCTTGACAGATTCATTCTTTGATCCTGTCACTGGTTATTGATCAGTTTGGTTTATTGACAATATTCTGGTATATTTATAAAATCCAACATGTCAGACTCTATGAATGAATCTATGTGAAGGCTGGAGTCCTGCTGGTAGGTGACAGTGTACCTCAGGCAGCCATGTTGGATCTCAGTTTTATACAACAGTGGTGTGTTTAAAAGCTTCACAAACAGTGGCAACGTAGATGATAATAAATGATAAACATGACTTTTGAGATGGATCTGAGATTCAATGTTTACACACTAGACCTCAATAAGGAACGTTCTGTTGAAGTTTCCCACAGCTGCCAGTAGGAGGCATTAAAGAGACAGTATCTGTAGTTTGTTTTGAATAGACCAGGTTTCATGTTTTCTGATTAACTGGGGGTCATGACAATCTCTCCTCGGGGCACACAGAAAAACTTCCTCTGGTACAGAGAGAGAGATTAGAGTCACGTTTAACCATGAGAGACGGTGGTCCAGCTCACTTTCTGTAGTCCTGACGGTCCCTGCAGACAGCTGGTCTAAGTCCTCTGTCTCTGTCTCTGTCTCTGTCTCTGGTTCTAGTTCTGGCAGTTCGGGGAGTGGGTGGACGTGGTGATCGACGACCGTCTGCCCGTCAAAGACGGAGAGCTGATGTTCGTCCACTCAGCTGAAGGCAGCGAGTTCTGGAGCGCTCTGCTGGAGAAGGCCTACGCCAAGTAAGACCACCTCAGTCCAAGACCAGGTTCTGAGGTTCTGAACTGCTGCTTCACTGCAGACAGCTGCTGTCGCAGGTTACAGATTTTACAGACACATGAAGAGTGTGTGTGTGTTTGTGTGTGTGTGTGTGTGTGTGTGTGTGTGTGTGTGTGCGTGTGTGTGTGGTGTATTTTGAGGCTGAATGGGTCGTACGAGGCGTTGTCTGGCGGCAGCACCACCGAGGGGTTCGAGGACTTCACGGGCGGCGTGGCGGAGATGTACGAGCTGAAGAAGGCGCCCAGAGATCTTCATCGTATCATCACTAAAGCTCTGGACAGAGGCTCGCTGCTGGGCTGCTCCATTGACGTCAGTCACACACACTCTGCACCTTTCATGTCAGTCCACCTTCCCAGAGACACCTGAACCTTTCAGATAAGAGGTGAAAGGTCAGGCAGGTCCAGCTGTCTTCATAGATCACTTACTGAGACCTGGATCAATGAGAGTCCTCACAGACCTCCAACTTACCTAACCCAGACCAGATCCAGTCCAGGACCAGTTCCCAGATAACCCTTGACTTCAGAAGTTAAGAGGGTCGATCACTGTTACTGCATGTTAATGAGCACTCATTAATCATTCCTTAAACACCGCTGAGTCCGGATGTAAGACCTGGTCTCAGTCTGAGCTCCTTCACATTAAAAGCATCAGTGATATAAACATCATTAATACAGACCAATGGAAATGAACATGAACCCACAGTTAGGTTCAGTGGCTAACCCTGAAGCTAACTCCTGTGTTCAATTACTGCTGCTTTAATTTGAAAGGATTGAAGAGTCTCTGTGAATCTTCAGGAGGTCTGAGCTGAACCTGGATATGATCAGCTGATATGGATATGATCAACCAGTTCAGGGTGTAAACTGGTCTCAGACCGGGTTGATGAATCCTCCGTGTCGTCCTCAGATCACCAGCGCCTTCGACATGGAGGCGGTGACCTTCAAGAAGCTGGTTAAAGGCCACGCCTACTCCGTGACGGCGCTCAGACAGGTGAGCTCACCTTTAACCTTTGACCTCTAACTCAGTTGCAGGTGTTGGTGTCTCACTCATCAGCGTCCTCGTCTCTGCAGGTGGAGTACCGCGGCCGACAGGAGCGTCTGATCCGGATCAGGAACCCCTGGGGTCAGGTGGAGTGGACCGGGGCCTGGAGCGACAGGTAAGTGCTGCACACAGGTGGAGGAGACAGACAGGTGGAGGAGACAGGTGGAGACAGGTAGAGGAGACGGACAGGTGGAGGTGTAACTGTGCTGTTCTCAGCTCCTCAGAGTGGAACTCCATCGACTCTGCAGAGAAAGACGAGCTGCTCTGTAAGATGGAGGACGGAGAGTTCTGGTAGGTTCTACTGTCTGAGTGAGGATGAGGATGAGGAGTGATGAAGAGTGTGTCAGAATGAGGATGAGGAGTGATGAAGAGTGTGTGTCAGGATGAGGATGAGGAGTGATGAAGAGTGTGTCAGGATGAGGATGAGGAGTGATGAAGAGTGTGTGTCAGGATGAGGATGAGGAGTGATGAAGAGTGTGTGTCAGGATGAGGATGAGGAGTGATGAAGAGTGTGTCAGAATGAGGATGAGGAGTGATGAAGAGTGTGTGTCAGGATGTCGTTCCAGGACTTCCTGCGTCAGTTCTCCAGACTGGAGATCTGTAATCTGACCCCGGACGCTCTGAGTCAGGACTCCAGCAGCTTCTGGACCACGGTGACATTTGAAGGCGGGTGGAGGAGGGGCAGCACGGCGGGGGGCTGCAGGAACCACCCCAGTGAGAACATCAAAAATCATCATAAACTCTGAGCTCAGACCCAGCCAACAACCATCTGCAGTTACCTTTCACAATAAAAGCTGTCACTTCCTCTCTGCAGACACGTTCTGGATCAACCCTCAGTATAAGATCTCTCTGCTGGAGGAGGACGACGACCCCGAGGACGACGAGGCCGCCTGCAGCTTCCTGGTGGCTCTGATGCAGAAAGACCGCCGCCGCTACCGCCGCCATGGACAGGACATGCACACCATCGGCTTCGCCATCTATGAGGTCAGAGGTCATGAAGGTGTAGTGTTATGATGTCACACAGCAACTCTCTGTCTTTATGGTGTACTGACTGCTGCTAACACTGCCAACACTGCTGCTAACACTGCTGCTAACACTGCTAACACTGCTGCTAACACTACTGCTAACACTGCTGCTAACAATGCCAACACTGCTGCTAACACTGCCAACACTGCTGCTAACACTGCTGCCAACACTGCTGCTAACACTGCCAACACTGCTGCTAACACTGCTGCTAACACTGCTGCTAACACTACTGCTTACACTGCTGCTAACACTGCTAATGTTGCTGCTAACACTACTGCTAACACTGCTGCTAACACTACTGCTTACACTGCTGTTAACACTGCTGCTAACACCACTGCTAAGACCACTGCTGACACTATGGCTAACACTGCTGCTAACACTGCTGGTAAAACTACTGCTTACACTGCTGCTAACACTGCTGCTAACACTACTGCTAAGACTACTGCTAAGACTACTGCTAACACTACTGCTTACACTGCTGCTAACACTGTTAACGTTGCTGCTAACACTACTGCTAACACTGCTGCTAACACTACTGCTAACACTACTTCTAACACTGCTGCTAACACTGCTGCTAACACTACTGCTTACACTGCTGCTAACACTACTGCTTACACTGCTGCTAACCCTCTGCTAACACGACTGACACTAACAGTACTGTCTCTCTGACTGCTACACATCATCAGTACACCCTAACAGCCACCCCGAATCTCCTTAGCAACCATCCAACAACCACCAATCATCTTTGCAGAAGCCACATTTGTTTCCTCTGAGCAACATCCTCATTTACCCAAACACCAAAAACCACCTCAGACACCCCCACCCATCCTGAATGCTGTAGTAACCACCTACCAACAGACTAGAAACCACCTCAACAACATAGTAACCACAGTAACCATTTCAGTCACCCTAGCAACCACCACAAAAACTGAAGTAACCCCTCAGCAATGCCTCAGCAACCACCCACAACATCCTGGCGCTCACTGAGACACCACACCACATAAAAAAAGCATGCCAACGTTCAGGTACCAACGTACTTATGTCCTAATAACCAACTGGTAACACCTTAGTAACCAACTGGTAACATCCTAGTAAACCTGTAGCAACAGTTAGCACTAGCATGTTATCAGAACATGGGTGTGAGTGTGTAGTGAGTCTTCTTCTCTGTGTTTTGTCTCGTTGACAGATTCCTGAGGAGGTGAGTCATCCAGTCTGAAACAAGTAAAACTTTTAATCACATTTAGCTTAAAGCTAACGTCCATCTGTCCGTCAGTACCGAGGCTGTCCCAGTGTCCACATGAAGAAGGATTTCTTCCTGCGTCACTCCTCCTGCGCTCGCTCCGAGACCTTCATCAACCTGCGAGAGGTGAGCGCTAGGCTCCGCCTCCCGCCAGGCGAGTACCTGGTCGTCCCGTCGACCTTTGAGCCCTCGAAGGAGGCCGACTTCGTCCTGAGGGTGTTCACCGAGAAACAGTCAGAGACCGAGTGAGTCCGTCAGAACCCAGACTGACAGTTACTCTGGTTCTTCATTGAGTCAGGAGGATGTTTAAACCTGTGATTCTGTGCAGGGAGATGGACGATGACGTGGAGGTGAACTTTGGAGAAGAGGTAAAAAATCTTCCTTTAAATCACCTTTACTTTGTTGTTTGTTCAAAACCAAAAAGAAAACAGAGACAACAGATGAATATACATTATCGTCTCTGTTGGGTCCTCCGTCCTTCATGATGTGGTCCTGGTCCTGGTCCTGGTCCTGCTAGAGAGACTGAGTCAAATCTAAACTGTTTTAGTTTTTATTTATTGTGAAGTTGTTTCATACAGTTGGTTTAATTTTTTCTGTTTGTCAATAATGAACAGACAGAAAAATCTGACAGGTATATCAATGATCGATTGATGAATCAGCTGATCAGTCCAGCTGTAGAGGACTGGTTGGGTTCTGGGGGTCATGTACAGTGGGGGTCAATAGTGGCCTAACAAGCTTTACTAAATAAATACATACATGGGCTTTGTGTTGATTGACCTTTGACCTTGGTGTCGTTCTTCTTCTCTGCAGGAGGAAATCTCAGAGAGCGACATCGATGATTCCTTCAGGTCCATGTTTGCTCAGCTGTCTGGAGATGTGAGTTTGTTTGAATGTAAAACCTGTTGATATCCAGCAGCAGGTTAGCATCCAGGCTAACTCCAATGCTAACAACGGTGACTCTGCATGACATTCATAACGTTCTCTCTCATCAGGACATGGAGGTCTCAGTGCGAGAGCTCAGGACCATCCTGAACCGGGTCGTGTCCAAACGTGAGTTCAGATCCCTGTCTCTGGTTCAGGTGGTTCAGGTGTTTAACCTGAACCAGGTGAGTTAACCAGCTGACTGTGGTCCTTCTTCTGTGGTTGTTGTGTGAACAGACAGAGACCTGCAGACTGACGGGTTCAGTATGGAGTCCTGCAGAGCCATGGTCGGCCTCATGGATGTATCCTCACCTGTGTCATGTACCTGGATCCTGTTCTCCCTATTCTTTCTGTTCTCTCTGTTCTCTGTGTTCCCAGTGTTCTCCATGATTTGTGTTCTCCCTGTTCTCTGTGTTCTCCATGTTCTGTGTTCTTTATGTTCTCCCTGTTCTCTGTGTTCTCCATGTTCTGTGTTCTTTGCGTTCTTCGTGTTCTCAGTGTTCTGTGTTCTTTGTGTTCTTTGTGTTCTCAGTGTTCTCCATGATCTGTGTTCTCCCTGTTCTCTGTGTTCTCCATGTTCTGTGTTCTTTGCGTTTTTCGTGTTCTTAGTGTTCTCAATGGTCTGTGTTCTCCCTGTTTTCTGTGTTCTCTGTGTTCTTTGTTCTCTGCGTTCTCCGTGTTCTGTGTTCTCTGTGTTCTCCATGCTCCATGTTCTCTGTGTTCTTTGTTCTCCATTCTCCATGTTCTCTGTGTTCTCTGTGTTCTCTATATTCTTTGTTCTCTGTGTTCTTCCAGTTCTCCGTGTTGTCCCTGTTCTCCCTCCTCTCCCTGTTGTCCGTGTTTCTTCTTCTCTCGTTGACTGAAAGTTCTTGACTCGACCTCAGAAAGACGGCAGTGCTCGGCTCGGTCTGCTGGAATTTCAGATTCTCTGGAACAAAATCAGGAAGTGGCTGGTGAGTCCGACATCACCTGTTCACACACCTGAACCTGTGAGCTCAGGGGAGGAAGGTGATGTCGCTTTCAAAATAAAAGTTTGAAGTGACACCCTCACAGCAGTGATTCGAACTTCTACCTGAGTTCAGGTACAGAGTTGTTCATATACAACTTCATCATTCTTGTAAGCGCATGATGACATCACACAATGGCGTTTTATGACACACCACAAAAAGTCTAAATATACCAAAGAATCGAAACGGTGACTCAGTGCTAAGGTGAGCACCTTAACCACTCAGCCACCTGTTCACCTAAGTCGAGTGAGGAGATTTGATTATGAGAAAACCCTGCAGCTCACACACTACACAGCAACAAGTTTTGTCTAGCTAATATAGACATTTATTGTAATATGTCTGTTTATATATAGACATACTGTATATTACACAAATATATATCTGTGCCAAAGCCTGTCAGTATATGTTCATATATATATATATATATATATATATAATGTGATTGTATAGTAAGGTATAAAAACATCGTAGTATAGTAAGGCAGAAAAAGTAACAAAAACGTCATTGTATAGTGAGGCATAAAAATGTCATAGTGTAGTAATGCATACAGATCTGATAGTAAGGCATACAAACATCATAGTGTAGTAAGGAATACAAAAGATATAGTTTATTAAGGCTTAAAAAGTCATACACACGTCATAGTATAGTAAGGTTTAAAAACAAAATAGTATAGTGAGGCAAAAGAAGTCATAAAAACAACATATTATAGTGGGCATAAAAAGTCAAAAACATGTCATAATATATTAAGGCATAAAAAGTCATAAAAACGACATAGTATAATTAGGCATGAAAAGTCATGAAAACATCATAGTATAATAAGACATAAATAGTCATAAAAACGTCATAGTATACTAAGGCATAAAAAGTCATAAAAACGTCATAGTATACTAAGGCATAAAAATTCATAAAAACATCATAGTATAGTTAGGCATAAAAAGTGATATTATACCAAGGCATACAAAGTCATAAAAATGACATAGTATAGTAAGGCATAAAAACGACATAGTATAGTAAGGCATAAAAACATCATAGTATAGTTAGGCATAAAAAGTCATATTATACCAAGGCATAAAAAGTCATAAAAACAACATTGTATAGTAAGGCATAAAAAGTCATAAAAACATCATAGTATAGTAAAGCATAAAAAGTCATAAAAACGACAGTATAGTTAGGCATAAAAAGTCATAGTATAACAAGGCATAAAAAGTCATGAAAACATCATAGTATAGTAAGGCATAAAAAGTCATAGTATAGTAAGGCATAAAAAGTCATAAAAACGACATATTATAGTTAGGCATAAAAAGTCATAAAAACGTCATAGTATAGTAAGGCATAAAAAGTCATAAAAACGTCATAGTATATTAAGGCATAAAAAGTCATAAAAACGACATAGTATAGTTAGGCATAAAAACGTCATAGTATAGTTAGGCATAAAAAGTTATATTATACAAAGGCATAAAAAGTCATAAAAACGACATAGTACAGTAAGGCATAAAAAGTCATAGTATAGTTAGCATAAAAAGTCATAGTATAGTAAGGCATAAAAAGTCATAAAAACGTAGTAGTATAGTTAGGCATAAAAAGTCATAAAAATGACATAGTATAGTTAGGCATAAAAAGTCATAATATAACAAGGCACAAAAAGTCATGAAAACATCATAGTATAGTAAGGCATAAAAAGTCATAAAAACGTCATAGTATAGTAAGGCATAAAAAGTCATAGTATGGTAAGGCATAAAAAGTCATAATATAACAAGGCACAAAAAGTCATGAAAACATCATAGTATAGTAAGGCATAAAAAGTCATAGTATAGTAAGGCATAAAAAGTCATAAAAACGTCATAGTATAGTAAGGCATAAAAAGACATAAAAACGTCATAGTATAGTTAGGCATAAAAAGTAATATTATACCAAGGCATAAAAAGTCATAAAAACGACATAGTATAGTAAGGCATAAAAAGTCATAGTATAGTAAGGCATAAAAAGTCATAAAAACGACATAGTATAGTTAGGCATAAAAAGTCATAAAAACGTCATAGTATAGTAAGGCATAAAAAGTCATAAAAACGTCATAGTATATTAAGGCATAAAAAGTCATAAAAACGACATAGTATAGTTAGGCATAAAAACGTCATAGTATAGTTAGGCATAAAAAGTTATATTATACAAAGGCATAAAAAGTCATAAAAACGACATAGTACAGTAAGGCATAAAAAGTCATAGTATAGTTAGCATAAAAAGTCATAGTATAGTAAGGCATAAAAAGTCATAAAAACGTAGTAGTATAGTTAGGCATAAAAAGTCATAAAAATGACATAGTATAGTTAGGCATAAAAAGTCATAATATAACAAGGCACAAAAAGTCATGAAAACATCATAGTATAGTAAGGCATAAAAAGTCAT